TTAATTTAATTAAAAAATAAAAATAAAACATCTCCATATTTCTTAGGTTATTTTTTTATTTTAATCATGTATTCTAACCCCAATTTTAAAAATTTAATTTACATGTAATTTTATGCTATCAAAACTAGTTTATGCCTTTACTTTTAAAACCCTAAATTTGTAATTTATTTTTAAAATAATTTTATAATTCTCCTAACTAAGTTTTAAATAAGTTTCATTCTAAAAGTTTTAAAACAATATAATAAAATTAGTCTTAATATTTTACTATTCTTGGATATTTGGTTTAGAAGTTTTAAATTTTGATTATGAATGCTTCTAATCAATTTTAGTGATATTCATGTTAAATTTTATTTATTTTTACCATGATTTAGAAGATGAGATTAAATTATTAAGACATTAAGAAAAAAACTAATTTTAATTTTTAAGAATTATTTACGTTATACTAGAAACTTAAAGTCATCTTTTATTATTTTTGGTACCTTTAATGATGTAACCAAGAAGAATTTTTAGATTTTTTCAATTTTTACAAATGCAAAGAAGTAGAAGAATTTGTTTATAATTTATACTTTTTATTATATTTTTACTTATTTGTATGCTAATGTGTTTTATGATTATGTTTTCTATTTAATATTAAAATATTTTTACATTATCTTATATATTTCATAATATTAAAAATTAATCAATCTGACTAAACGATACCGATCCAATTTAAGTTGGATTGATTTAATTATTATATAATAATAAATTAAATTAATTTAAAAATTTTATTAACTAATTAAATTAATTTAATTTAAAAAATATTAAAATTCGACTCCAATTACACCACAGACACTTTTAGCAGTCGCTATCCGCCATGTGGGTAGTAGCCGCTATTGCAGCTAAGATGGGCGGTATTGTACTGTAGGTTGTGTAGGTTGTAAAATCGTGAGATTGTGTATATATATATATTTTTTTAAACGGTGTATAATTTGAGGATAGAGGAAAGGAGTTTTTAAGATGGTGGTGGAACTCAAAACTTCGACTACCTCATCCAAGCACTTTAAAATTTGGAATCAAACCATTAGGTTTAAAGGTTTGGTTCGTGAGATTGTGTGATTTGAAACATTTTAGAAGGTAAATTCATTTATAAATGGTAATTAATAATTTTTTAATTAGTAAAATAAAAAAATT